AACTGCTTCAACGACGTGCTCCTCTTTAGCATCATCAGGAGTCGTCTCTCGAACATGTTGCGGATATCGCCTTTCGTGAACCGGTGTGGCCTCGTTTTCCTCACTGCGGGTATCGTTGATTGAATCCTCGTGCTGAGGATGATTTCCTTGGGCCTCAAGGTTGTGTGTGTTGTTAACACCATTATCTCTCATTTTCCATAATTATTTTTCAAAGAACAAATAATCAAACACATTAGTAAAAGAGGCAAGGACCAACTTAATTACACAACTGTCTAAGCCCCACGATGGGCGCCAAACTGTTTACCCGTAAAATGGTATAGTTGAATTTATACGTGATTTATAGACAAGTGAATTAATTTGATCCTGAAATAATAGATGAATTAGATAAAAATATGATTCTTAGCCTTGAGATGGAGATAAAATAGCAGAAACGGTAATTCCGGGAGCAGGGCTTTCGTGCACAATAGAAACGATATTAGTAAACAAGAAGATAAAATTATATTGAGCTTTGAATAGAATATAGCATATGTTTGCCAAAAAATTCGTATCCTTTACAATGATAATAGAGTTCACTATTTATAGCCGCACCTAGGGAACAAGGTCCTAGGATCAAGCCCCTCTTTAATGTCAATTGTGAGGGCCATTGAAGAATGTGTAACGGCAAACAGTGAATGACATATTCCTTATAACGGGCCGTGTACATAATGCTGTAGAATATTCCTCATTAAATGCTAGCGGGTGGCAGACATTTGTTTCATCTTTATGAGTATCGTTCTCTCCAATAACAGATGACATCGTTGCTTTCGGTTTGAACTATCTCCTGTCTTCGGCTCCACGTGTCACTTTTTCGTGCGATCATTTAATATAAACATATTTTATCCTATACAACATAGAGCAATGTTGTGAGAAGATAAACAAGGGAAGCTATAATGTGAGAGTTCATTGTGCAAATTGCAAAACAAAATAAAATGGAGTAAATATAACGGGAGTGAAATTGTGTTAGAATATCCTACGGGGTTTAGTTAGGTCCAAAATTCATTTAACATAGTATTATCAAATTGTTGTTATCCATTATTGGGCCCCACCTTATATTGTTCACGTTCCAATTGACAGGCCTGAACGTATAGGGAGTGTTAGAATATGAGAAATTTTCAGAAATTACTAGTTTTTAGTGGCTATTAACTTTCTATAGCTATCATATACATATCTTATAGCTACTATTTAGTTGTTACGCGACCGTATTTACTGTATTTGCGTTACTGTATTCATGAATACAGTAGCAGAAATCGCCTAAGAACATGAGAGTCAAGTTGTGCGCGACTATAATTGTTGTACTCGCGCTACTGTATTCATGAATACAATAGCGAAAATCGCCTAAAAATAGGAGAATCCAGCTATTTAATAACGGAAAGAGGATCAATTAGCGTGTCACTCCTAATTTAACTCACCAAAATTAATTCTAATTTTTTTTTGTTGCTATTGTGATGTATTTCATGTATTCGTGCGACTGTATTTATAAATATATTGAGTTAAAAAAACAGGGATTACATATGTTTAATTATGTATTCCATGTATTCGCGCGAATGTATTTATAAATACAGTGAGAGAATGTGCCTAAAAAGAAAGTGATTACGGGTGTTTAATAACGGAAAGCGCAATATCGAATTGTATTCAATTTTAGTATATTGAATTCTGTTGTATTCAAACAACAAAAAATCAAGAAAATAGGGTGTATACCTTTTTATTCAATTCGACTGTATATATTATATTCAATTCATAGATATTCACTATTATACATTGTATTCAATTCGGCTGTATTCAAATAACAAAAAATCACAATAACATAGTGATATTCGGCTATATTAAAAAAATACAGACCTTTGGAATACATAAATACAGGCAAAAATATAATGTATTTGAGTGCATTTGTACAGAATACAATGTATTTGTATCATTGTATGTGACTAAATAGCACAGAAGAGAAGAAAGTTCGCCGGAGATGGCGTTTTCCGGCCAAGCAAAATACTGTATACGTTGTACTAAAACTAAAAATGGAGACGAACAAAATCCGGCCTTCAAATCTTCTCCGGCGTAGAAAATGTTGCGGTATCCGTCGTTCATGTTACAATACCTATGCTCTACTCGGATTATTCCGACATCGTTTTTGCTCCCTGCGCATTGGCCCCAGCCTTAGAGCGATGATCTCCTCCTTGCTATGGAGGAATCTGGTTTTGAAGAAAAGGTCTGGCTTTTCCCTCTTTCTCCCAACATTTGAGAAGTATTTTTAATTACAGTAAACCTAGAGAATTCGGCCAGAGAATTCACGGTTAGAAGCAGAGGTATTTTGCTCGAAGAGAGAGAGAGAGAGAAAGAAGAAAAATTTTGCTGAGATTTTGAGAGAGAATCGTGTTTAACTGAAATAAAGAGAGAGAGAAAACATAAATAGCGCATGTCACACCTCAATGGTAGTGTATACATAAATACCTATTTTGCTATAAAATATAAAAGGTGACTATATAAAATAATATTTTAAAATAGTTTTCTTTTATAATAAATAGGGTGTATACCTTTGCTATAAGATGTAAAATTTCCTAAGAATATCCAAATCGGTTGGGAACGAGAGTATTGGACTCCGTATAGGGTTTTGTATAATGCTCAATACATGAGCTAGTTTTTGGGTTTGAGTTAAGCTCAAAGTCTATTTAACAAGTTGTATATTACACCTAAGATTTGACATTCAATTCTTCTTTATTCTCCCCCTCTATTATTTACTGAATTACTTCTAGTCCTAAAAGAGTTTTTAAAAAAAGTAAATAAATGAAGAGATGGAGCTGTTTTCATAGAATAATTTTATGACATTTGCAACATTCAAGATTCAACCGTTGGAAAAATCACCAGATGGGGTAGTTCAGTGAGCATATGGATCTGAACCATATTAAAAGTAGAATTCACACAAACTGAATACTCGTTTTGGCAATTGGAAGAAAGAATAATATAATGTTCCAATTCCCCGGTCCTTTGTTTGACATTCACTGTGACCTTCCATGTTCATTGGCATTATTTTTTATACATGTATATTAAAAATTTAAATGTCCATAGCAAAATTTCTGGCTTAGTGTCGTAAAATATTTCTCCTAGTTTTTTTTATAGCACTCTCTGTATCTTAGATAGCTTATCTATCTTCTCATTCGTCCCTCTCCTTTTTCAGCTGTTCAAATTAATTCCTAACAACCGAACTGTTTCCATTGATTTAATTTGCAACTTCATATGGTATTGCATAATGCCATTTCTTTGTTTTGGAAAGTTTGGAACAAGGTTTTTCTTGAGTCGGGTGTCTATCGGAAACAAATTCTCTATCTCACATAAGGTAGAGGTAAGGTTGCATACGCTTTATCTTTCTCATACCTCATTTGTGAATTTACACTGCGTATGTTGTTGTACAGTTTGGAGCAAGGGCTGCCCATACTTTTAAAAAAAAAAAGACCTTGAAGTCTTGAACTATAATAAGTACTTAATAAATAAGCCCATCAAGTACATGAACTAGATGATAAGATTAATAATAGAGTAATTTTAATTGAGCTAGGGAAATGGCATCCCAACTCCAAAATTATACTATATTCTAAAGCATGTGTTCATGAACATAGATTATAAAACAGTATACTAAATGTCTGTTAATGATATGAATTATTAGTATCAATTTAAAAAGAAGACAATGCATCAGTAAATCACATGTTATATATGGACTTTAGTAGTTAGGTCTTCTGCACATGGCTGTTTTTGTGTTTCAAAATAAAGGTGGTTGCTCATATACTCCAGCTTTTGTTTGGTAATTAGGCCTAAGGAGGAAAAGAAAAGTGGGAGGAAGCACAATGGTGAAACAAAGTTAAAGAAATTAGTACTGTTTGTTTATGATTTGTTTGGATGGGAAAGAATGTGGAAAAGGAAGAAAACCGTGACGTTGTTATTCAGTATTACTCTTTTGACCCACGGTAAAACCTAAAGTAATTTCTTGTAAGTAAATAAGTGGGTCCAAACAACTGGGTCCAAAGAGTTCCTCTTCCCTTCTTCCGAACAAAAGTTCATCGGAAAATTCTAAGCTTTTTTTTTCTCTTTACGCTCTTTTTTTGGTGTTCCAAAATATTGTTACTGTTAATTTTCATAACTTTCAAAATCCAAATTTACTAGAATATTCACATTTTAAAATGAAGTGATTTTTTTAAATCACAACTTGTATATCCGTTAAATCATCACTCATATATTAGTATTAGCTCAATTTAATATCTACAATTCCGCATCCAATTAAACATTATCTGATAAAATAAAATGGTGAAATTATACCACGATTTGACGTGGATGTATACACAAAATATCAAGGATCAGTGGCGGAACCAGGATTTTTGTTAAGAGGAGTCAAAATATAAATAAATAAACATACCAAGAAGTGAAGAGGTGTCAATAATATATATATATATATATATATATATATATATATATATATATTTTTTAAATTACCCGCTACACAGTATAATTTGTCAACAAAGGGGTATTGGTTATTGTCATGATAAATAGGAGCAGAGTAAGATATATTGGTCAAGTTGCGATCCCCATAGTTGATGTGAGGATTTGTCGTTGAATACAGCTAATATCACAACATAAAGCACTTTAAACTGAAAACAACTGGAGCTAATGAGCACTACTACTACTAGTACTAGTAGATAAAAATTGATAAAAACGTGTCATTTTCTAGTTTAGTAGAGGACTAAGACCTCAAACAAATATGTCCTTGCATTCATAATACAACAACCACCAAATGAAAAAGGACTAACTCACTTATTAACACTATGTGTATTTTTTTTTTTTTTTTTTACTGTGTGAGCGTATTTCACATGTGCAACAAATAATTGTCTTACTTTTTCGAGTTTTAAATTTTAATCTTTATGAACAATTATTTGTAGTTATTATTTAGGTGACCTGATAATATATTAAAAAAAAACTTAAACTCAAGAGAAAAAGATGAACTTACATTGGGAGAAAAAATCCAGTAATGAAGATTGGGCATTACATAATGGAGTACAAAATAGTTAAACAAACTACAATAATTAAGATACCAAAAAGGCAAAATATAAAGGACAATAATTATTTATCCTACAGTTTCATCATTTCCGGAAATGACCCCAAGGAAAGTCGAACTTGCACATCAACACCCCATTCAATTAGTGAAATTTTTCACAGTGGCCCCAGCCTCACAAGCTTTAGCTTCAGGTGCTGGCTCCACCGTCGGCGACGGAGGAACCGCCGTAACTAGCAACTCAGCCGGGAGATCGGGAATACCCTTCAAGTAAAAAGTGTAAAATAGCTTGAAAGGGAAAATGATTTGCTGCAATTTCACTTGACCGGAAACCCCTGCAAAGATACCGGATCCGCCGGTAACAGCAAGATAAGTATCCTCGTAAGTCAAGTACGATCCTTGAACGGCGATGTGACCATAATCGCCGAAATAGAAGCTGTAAATAGCTTCATACCGATCCCCTTTCTTTTCCTCTTCGTGTTTGATCAGAATGCAGAGTCCAGCCGTTATTCCAATTCTCTTCTTTAGGTCTCCGGTATATAGCTGAAATAATATATCAAGAATCAGCATAAGAATAAAAATATAAAGAAAAGATTCGTTTTTTACTCCTATTGTGAGAACCAAAAAGGAACGTACTTTGTTGCTAAAGGGGACAAGATCTCCAAGGGAATTGACAGTCTTTTGGCTCAAGCGAAGATAGGCAGGGCTACCACGGTCACGTTCATTGAGCTCGTAGACACTAAGTTGTTGAACTTTAGCTGAAATCAGAAAATTCACAGAAAAAAAAGAGAGCAAGAGATGTTAAATGTCATAGATAGATAGAACGAACATAAGGTGATTGATATTATGTGACAGAGAAGTTAAAAATTCTTACTGGCTGTGGAATCTGTTGAGCTGCTCTGGCTCTTGCAATGAAATGATCTGGGGTTGGTGGAGGTGCTAAGTTTAAGAGATTGAGAAATGAGGGGGTTAGGGAGTTTAAAAAATCGGATCTTTTGAGAAGCAGCAGTAGTTGGAAAGCTAGAGGTTAGCTTAGCAGAGGAAGAAATGGTTCTAAGAGCAGCAGAGGCTGAGGAGGCAGTGGCCATAGCTGCTGAGGAATGAACTTGCAAATGTGTTGGTTTTTCAGTGGAAAATAAATGACTAGAAAAGAAAGTTGAATGAGATTGTTGAGGCTGATGAAATGAAAGGTGGTGAAAGTGGTTAATTATATAGTGTTGAGGGGTCCAAATTCCATGTGTGGAAAATGAGAATATCATAAAATTATTATGAGATCTGTGATTCATGATTTGATGGACGGTGTAGGATGTGATAAAGGGTAATTGTGTGTGGAGACTGGAGGATTGGGAATAGTCAAAGACGCTTTCGAGGAATAAACAACAATGTTTTGCCAATGTGGGAAATATTGTTTACACGTGGTTTATTGTACCTGGTGGTCTGTGCCGCTTTGGATTGGCCAACGGGAAAACTCGTTTTGTGACTTTTGACTTTAGTCTTCCTGTCCTAAAGTTGAGAGTTCTACCGGGCGTTTTGACATAAGAATTGTAAAATTTAAAAAAGGTGGAAAAAAGTTTCGAATTATTTGAAATTTAGATTGGTGTTTGGGTATGAATAAAATTTTGGGTTGTTTTTGAAGTTTTGTGAGTGATTTGACTGAAAATTTTGAAAAATAGCTTTTTCGAGTTTTTCAAATTTTCAAAAACTTTTAAAATGTATCTTTAAGTGAAAATTGAAAATTTTATGAACAAACGCTGATTTGAAAAAAAATAAAAATTTAAAAAAAAAATCTTATCTCCAAACGGGCTCCTAGTCTTCTAGGAATCCAGTTCTCTCACAATAGATGAGATATACTACGTACTAGTGGAGTATTTCTCCGTCCAATTCTTTTAGATGTGCTGTTTTTTCTTCTTCTTTTTTTTCTTTCACAGCAATCTCGTACGAACTAACATATTTTAGACAAGCTAGAAACTTAAGCTCCAATCGAATAATATGGTTAGTGAGGATTCATATAATCAATTTCATTTTGTTTGAGATTGAGAGATAGTTAATATTATTCAGAAAAGCTCAAAATTTCAATTTATATCAACAATGCATGGTAAATATGAAGCAAATGCTCGTTTGTATGGAAGATCGGCATGCTTCTTTAACCAAAAAATATTTTTTGTAGTCAAAACAAATAAATAGAATAAAATTTTATTTCTAACAATCAATTTACTTCACTTTTTCATTATATAATTGATATGAAAAAGGAATACAATAATAGAGAATAAGTGTCACGACCCAGTCCTTCCTCCATTTGATGTCGTGACGGCACCTAGTCTCTACGACTAGGTAAGCCTAACATTTGCAGAAATAATCAGAATTGAAGCATAAACCTTAACAACTAACAGCAACAGATATTATATAATTGATAAAAATGTCGCTCGACATGTACAATAACCAACTCTCGAAAATACACAAAATTTCCCCAAGACCCGGAACATCATAAGTCACAAGCTTCTAAGAATTCGTCTAGCTATTTCTATACATCAGTAACTAGAATATGTAAAAGAGGAACAACATAAAAGGGATAGAGGGGGACTTCGAGGTCTGCGAACGCATGTAGATGTACCTTGAAGTCTTTGGAGCAACAGCAAGTACGCAACTAATAGCGGGGCTGGTAGGAGGTACCTCGATCTGCACACGAAACATGTGCAGAAGAGTAACATGAGTACACCATTACGGGACTCAGTAAGTGCCAAGCCTAACCTCGGTCGAGTAGTGACGAGGTTAGGTCAGGGCCTTACTGGTATATATAAATTAAATAAGGCAGAATAAAAATATCGAATTGTAATAAAAGACTGAAATTTAACAAAGAGGAAATCACAGAAGAATAACAGTATAGTACATAGGAGTAACAACAGGGGATCTCCCGAGATACCGTCTCGTAGTCCCAAAAGTAAATGTGTAGGGGGATCTCCCGGGATATCGTCCCGTAGTCCCAAAGTAAATATGCAGGGGGGTCTCCTAGGATACCATCATGTAGTCCCAAAGTAAATATGCAGGGGGATCTCCCGGGATACCGTCCCGTAGTCCCAAAATAAATATGCAAGGGGATCTCCCAGAATACCGTCCGGTAGTCCCGAAGTAAATATGCAGGGTAAACTCCCGGGATACCGTCCTGTAGTCCAAAAGTAAATACGCAGCTCAAAATAATGGAAATAACTGTTACAACAAGAAATCCTACAGTTTAAACTAAGTACAAGCCAAGGAAGAAGCAGGAATCCACTAAGCATGCTGCACAGAGTTCAGATAAGCATTTAAGATATGTAGACATGTCATTCTAGGCTAAACAGGATAACTACACATGCTGGTATAACTCAATTAAAATAAAACAGGTTATTACTTAGTGAAAATCAAATTTTACAATAAATAGCCCGTGTATGCACTTGTCACCTCACCTACACGACGCTCGCATATCACAACAGTACCAAATCCTAAGGGGAGTTTCCCCACACAAGGTTAGGCAAGCCACTTACCTCGAACCAAACACAATCAATCGGTAACAATGCCTTTTCCACGATTTTCCGACTCCGAATAGCCCAAATCTAGCCAAAAGCAATTACATATCATAAATACAACTATAAGAAACTAATCTAATTAATGAAATCAAAGCTTAAGAAAGAAATTAGAAAATCGCCCCAAAAAGTTGACCCGACCCCACATCTCGGAATCGGGTAAAAGTCACAAAATATGAACATTCATTCACTCACGAGTTCAGTCGTACCAAAATTATCCAAATTTGGTATCAAAATCTCAATTAAAACTCAAAAACTTAGTTGAAGAACTTCTCCCATTTCTCCCAATTTTTCAACCCAAATATGAAATTAAATGATGAAATTAATGATAGATTAGTGGTATATAATCAAAATCAAGTGTAGAATCATTATCCAATCGATGTATCTGAAAATAACTCAAAATCTCGTCCAAATCCGAGCTATTTATCTCAAGTTATGATAAAAATGGTCAAACCCTCGATTTTGAAATGTTTAATACTGCCCAGACATTCCTTCTTCGCTAACGCGGAAGAACCCTCGCGTTCGCGAAGAGCAACTTACTCCAGCACAGAAATCCTTCATCGCGAACGCGAAGGTCACTCAACTCGACCCTACGCGAATGCGGGACCAATATCACGAACGCATAGGCAAAAGGGCCTGGGGACCAGTTGGCCAATTCCTCTATGCGAATGCGGGACCTCCATCGCGAACGCGAAGCACAAAATCCCACCTGTCTCCACTTCCTCTTCGCGAACGCGGGATCCTCTCGCGAATGCGAAGAAGGAAACCAGAACTAGAGAACACCAGAAAATATGCAATCTTTCCAAAGTCCAAAATGATCCATTAACCACCCGAAATCAACCCGAGGCCCCCAGGACCTCAACCAAACATACCTACCAGTCCTAAAACACCAAACGAACTTAGTCGAATCCTCAAAACACATTAAACAACAACAAAAACACGAATCAACCTCCAATCCAAACTTAATAAACTTTGAAACTTCAAACTTCTACAACCGATGCCGAAACCTATCAAACCACGCCCTATTAACCTCAAATTTTGCATACATGTCATATTCGACATTATGGATCTACACTAACTTTGTAATCGGAATCCGACCCTGGTATCAAAAAGTCCACTTTCAGTCAAAATCTCTAAAAATTTGACTTTCGTCATTCTAAGCCTAATTCAGCTACAGACCTCCAAAACACAATCCGATCGCGCTGCTAAGTCCAATATCACACAACGGAGCTAACAGATCCGACAAAACTCCATTCCGGTGTCGTCTTCACACAGTTTCAGTTACAGTCAAAATCCTAAGACTTAAGCTTCCGTTTTAGGGACTAAGTGTCCCAAATCACTCCGAAACCGAAAAACAAAACCTCCTAGCAAGACACATAAGCAGAAAAAGATACGGGGGAAGCAGTAAATAGGGGATCAGGGCTATTACTCTCAAAATAACCAGCCGGGTCGTTATATCCTCCCCCCTTTAAAACAATCGTTCGTCCTCGAATGAGCATAAAAACATACCTGAAGTGGTAAAAAGATGAGGATAACGGCTGCACATATCATGCTCTGTCTCCTAAGTTGCCTCCTCGACCGACTGACCCCTCCACTGAACCTTCACTGAAGCGATGTTCTTTGACCTCAGTTTTTGAACCTGCCTGTCCAAAATTGCCACCTGCTCCTCAACATAAGATAGATCCTTTTCCAACTGGACTGAGCTAAAATCCAACACATGAGACGGATCGTTGTGATACTTCCGAAGTATTGAAACATGGAATACTGGATGAACTCCTGCTAGACTGGGAGGCAAGGCAAGCTCATAAGCAACCTCCCCAACTCGTCGCAACCCCTCGAATGGACCAATAAACCTTGGGCTCAGATTACCCTTCTTTTCGAACCTCATAACTCCCTTTATAGGTGAAACTTGGAGCAAGACCCGCTCTCCAACTATTAATGCAACATCGCGAACCTTCCGATCCTCATAACTCTTGTGTCTAGACTGGGTTATGTGAAGTCGATCCTGAATCACTTTTACCTTCTCCAAAGCATCCTGAGCCAAGTCTGTACCCAATAGCCTAGCCACACCCGGCTCGAACCAACCCACTGGAGACCGACACCGCCTACAATACAGAGCCCCATACAGTGCCATTTGAATATCGACTGATAATTGTTGTTGTAGGAAAACTCCGCAAGTGACAAGAACTGATCCCAAGAACCTCCAAATTCCATCACATACGCACGAAGCATATCTTCTAGTATTTGAATAGTGCACTCGGACTGTCCGTCCGTTTGAGGGTGAAATATTGTGCTCAACTCAACTGAGTACCTAACTCATGTGGTACGACCCTCCTGACAGTGATGTAAGCTGCGTACCCCGGTCAGGGATGATAGATACTGGCACGCCATGAAGCCTGACAATCTCGCGGAAATAAACTCGAGCCAGCTGCTCGGAAGAATAAGTAGTCATCACAGGAATGAAATGAGCTGACTTGGTCAGCCTATCCATAATCACCCAAACTGCATCAAACTTCCGCTGAGTCCATGGGAGTCCAACAATGAAATCCATAGTTATCTGCTCCCATTTCCACTCCGGAATCTCTAACTTCTGAAGCAACCCACCTGGGCGTTGATGCTCATACTTCACCTGCTGGTA